CCAAGAGACCAAGGCCGCAGCGTGCGAGGACCCGGGGCGGGCGTGGCGGGGGCGGCGGGGGTGGGGGCGGGGGCGGGATGCGCTCCCCGGCCCCTCTAGCCCCGTGGAGGTACAACTCGAAGGTGGGGTAGGCCGTGAGAAGCCGGAACTGCGGAGCGCGGAGCCGGCCCCACTTCCGGCAGAGGAGGGCCGTGGGGAGGAAGAGGCGGAGCGGAGCCTGGCCCGCCCTGTCACGACCCGCGCCGCCGCACGTCTCTGTGACGTCACTGCGTTGTCACTCTGCCCCCCCACCCCCCCACCCCCCAACTCGGACGCCGGCACTGGCCGGCTGTAGACGATGCGGCTGGTGACCTCAAGCTAGGCGGCAGGCGCGCCAGCTATAGTATTTTCAGCCCGGGTATGGTTTCCTGGAAAGGCAGCATCAGGGGCCGGGCTCAGAACTCTTCCTGTCCGGCTGGCGGTCCCAGTCCCGCGCGACATTTACCTTGGATCCCAGCCCACCGCGTCCTCGCTCCCCGCGCCGCCGGCCGGACCTCGGGATGCCAGGCGTCTCCGCTCGGGGCCTCTCCCTCGAGGAGCGGAGGCAGCTAGCTGTGAACCTCACCCGCGTCCTGGCACTGTACCGGTCCATCCTGGACGCCTACATCATCGTGAGGCCACAGGGTCGTGGGCGGGCTGCTTCCGGCTGGGTGGTTGTCTGGGTGGCCGTGACAGGGAATTTACCTTTGGTCTTTCTTCTGAGTTGTAAGTCATTCCAGAAGAAAGGTTAAAACGGGGGTGATTCTCTCCCTTTTACTCCTACTAGGATGTTTTCTACCCTTCTCAGAACCCAGGGTACTAAAAGCATGGATTTTTGTGTGTGTTTGGTTTATTGGGTTTTTTGAGACAGCGTCTCGCTATACAGTCCAGCCTGGTCTTGAACTCACTATGCAACCCAGGCTGGCCTCGAACTCACGGCGATCCACCTGCTTCAGCTTTTCGAATGCTGGGTTACAGGCATGTGCCTCGACGCCTGGACAAAACATTGAGTTTTGAGCCGTGCGGCAGTTAACATCAAACTCTCCTAGGACTAAATGAGTTGTTCAGGAAAACACGTGTTCATGCATACCAGCTCGTTTTGTTTTATTGTGGACAGTCCGGCTATAGAATCAGAGTGGGCCTAGAATCTTGCCTCCTCAACTGTGTCAATATTAGGAGTTTTCCCCCTCTTCTTTCCAATCCCTGGTTTCAGCTATAAAACAGATCCCTATCTGAAGGATCATTGCTAATAATAAATGAGATATTTATAAATGGCTGAATTATTTCGACTAAAATATTCAGATCCCAAACCCAGAACCCATTCTTTTTTTTCCTTTGGTACCAGGGATCGAACTTGGGTCCTTAACGTTTGCAACCAGAACCCATTCTTGATTCAGCTCTTTCATTCATCCACAGTCCAATCCTTCAAGTCGCCTTGGCTTTACCTTCATACTAGGCCACAGATTCATTCATCTTCCTCTCCACTGCTACCTCCATGGGCCAAGCCTGAACTGTTCTGTTTACTAATGCCTGTCCATAACCAGCATTTCTCTGAGCAGCCAGACTGAAATCTTTCCAGCGTGAATCTTACAACCTTATCACGACACACCTTTGCTTCCTAGGACCTTTGATGAAAGGCCGACTCCTTACTATATTACTTTACATAGCCCTGCATAATGAGAGCTCTGCCACTTCTTCATCCACCTCAAATTTCATTTTCTTTTTTTTTGGGTACCGGGGATTGAACTCGGGACCTTGCACTTGCAAGGCAGGCAGCGGAACCACTGAGATAAATCCCTGGCTCAAATTTCATTTTCACTCCACTATATTCACACTGGCCTGATTTCTGTCCCACAGATATGGCAGGCGTCTGGGTCTTTGCATTTATTGATCTCCCTGGAATACTCTTCCTCCACTTCATGGCAATAGAGCAGATTCCCTAAGAGCACGGATTTGGATAAAATAGGTTTCACATCCCAGCTCTTCTGTTTTTTTAATTGGGCAGGTTATTCAGTTGTCTTAGTTTCATCTGTAAAATGGGGCTAAAAATAGAACCTACCTCATAAGAGTTGTTTATTAAGTGCATTCATACATGTCAGATGTTTACAACAGTGCCTGGCATAGAAAGCATTGTGTATTTGGTATTGCTTGTATTTTGTGTGTGTGTGTGTAACTGAGGACTGAACTAAGGGCTTTCATGCTAAGCTACATCCCTAGCCTTTTTTGTCTTATTTATAATTTTTATTTTTATTAGTACATGTTGGCAGTGCATAATGACTATATTCATGGGGAGTTGGTTCATGCACATATCTTAATTCTTTTTACTCCATCCCTCCCTCTCCTTCCATCTCTTGGTCTTCTTCCCATTTACAAAAGAGCTCCCTTTTTGTTTCCTATTATCTATCTTTTATTTTGTACATTGGGTGTCTCAGACTGACCTTTAACTCACTGTGTAGCCCAGGCTGGCCTCAAACTTGAAGCGATCCTCCTGCCTCAGCCTCCTGAGTGCCGTGACTACAAGTGTGCACCACCATACCTGGCTCCCTTTTTCCTTTTTTTTCTCCATATTATTTATTTTTTCTCCCTTTTTCTTTTATTTTCTATTTCTCACTTGTTTTTGTATTACCTTTATTTAATTCTATAAATATCCTTCTAGTTCCTAATAGGATTTTTATCTCACTTCTCTCTCCTCCTCATCTCCTATAGTTTAGGTTTAGGTCAGTCTGAACTGCATAGTGAGTCCCTGTCTCAAAAATACATATATACATATATGCATGTGTGTATGTCACATAAAATGGCAGGTTACAAAATGGTAATGTGTTAAGGATGCATGTGTGAAGAAGAGAGCATCCCTACCTAAGAAATTCAGCGGAAGCCAGGTGCACACACGGAGTCTCAGCTGCTGCAGAGGCTAGGGTAGGACTATCTGAGTTTGAGTCAACCTGGGCACACGTAGACCCCATCTCCCCCCAAAAGAGTGGAGAGAACTGACAGGAATAAGTGGGGACATTGTTACAGTGTAAGACATCTGGAATGCAGTCTAGACTCTGAGAAGGGGAGTTCAGCCCCCTGGAAGATGTGGAGAGGGAGTGGGCTTGAGAGAGCTGCTCCAGGAGGCGGGGGTGCCTGCAGAGTGGATGGGTGGGCAGGGCAGAGTGGTCCTGGGAGCAGGTGGCATCCTGCTGACTGTGTCTCCATTTCTGGTGCAGGAATTTTTCACAGACAACCTGTGGGGCACGCTCCCTTGCTCGTGGCAGGAAGCACTGGATGGACTGGAGCCACCTGAGCTAGCTACACAGCTGCTGGGGATGCCTGGAGAAGGGGAGGTGGTCAGGTATGGGCTGGAGGGGCCCTGTGCTAGGGAGCTTGAGGCACCAGGCTCCGCAGAGGCTCTGCTCAGGGTTGCCCAAGGTCTTCTGGCCCCATTAGGAACTGGGGAACTCGAGACATGAGGGGACTACTCACTGCAGCACAGGCTGACTTTTCTCAGGTACAGGTCAGTGTGGCCACTCACCCTACTGGCCCTAAAGTCCACAGCCTGTGCCCTGACTTTTACCCGGACACCCAGCTTTCAGACCCCCTCTGAATTCCTGGAGAACCCCAGCCAGAGCTCCAGACTGACAGCTCCCTTCCGGAAACATGTCAGGCCCAAGAAGCAGCATGAGATCCGAAGGCTGGGCGAGGTGAGGAGACGCTGGAGTATGAGCAGTGGCTGGGAGCCCAGGGCTGGGGGTGCGGCTAGAAAAATGCCCTGGAAGCTTCTCAGTGACACACTGATCCTACCTCCTGTTGGGTGGCTTCTTCTTCCTTCTGCTAGATTGGCTGGTGACTGTAAATCACTCATTCCCAGTCTCACATCTCCAGGGTCTTGTTCTGTGGGGGAGACTGAGTCACTAACCTGAGTGGCCTGAAGGGGGTGGGGCACCCACGCACATCCTCCACTCTGGTTTCCAGACCTCCGTGTCTCCTGGCTCCTATGCCCATCTCCCTCTGCTGTCTTTGGTTCTTCTACCCTCACTGTGGATGTTTGCTCCCTCCTCTTTCAGTTGGTGAAGAAGCTGAGTAACCTCACTGGCTGCACTCAGGTTGTGGACGTGGGCTCGGGCCAGGTGAGCCAGACCCCTAACACGCTGTCCTTTTTTTTTTTGGTACCTGGGATCGAACTCGGGTCCTTGCGCTTGCGCAGCAGGCAGCGAAACCACTGAGCTAAATCCCTGGCCCTACGCTGTCCTTTTGAGCCATGAGGATAAACAACCAGAAGGCAGGTATGAGGCCTCAGGCCTACAGAGGCAGGCGCTGAGGAGCGGTGGAAATGGGCCGGGCAGCACTCCTGTTTCATGGGCCCTGGGACCAGGTGTCCAGGCATTGATAGGATGGGTAACGTGGACAGCACCCTGAATGGGGACGACCCTGTCCTCCTCTCATGACTTCAGGGCCATCTTTCCCGCTTCATGTCCCTGGGGCTGGGGCTGATGGTGAAAAGCATCGAAGGGAATCAGAGGCTGGTGGAGCGAGCACAGCACCTGGACTGGGAGCTCCTGCAGGCTCTGGAGAAGAAAAGGAACCCCCAGGTAGGCCAGTCCCCTGAAGAAGCAGTGCCTGCTTGCTGAGTTCCCGCTCTCCTGTTTCTCAGCCTCAGATGGTACAGTCCCAGTGTCTGCTACTTCTTCCCTAAGATCCCCGTTCCCTAAAGCGCTCCCACATCTCAGAGGCACTTTGGAGTTACAGAATGCTTTCCACGCCAATGCGTTCTGTTCACAATAGCCTGTGAAGTGGCCAGGCTGGGCACAGCAGTACAAGCCTGTAATCCCAGCACGCAAAAGGCTGAGACAGGAGGATCGCTGCAAGTTCAAGGCCAGCCTGGACTACATAGGGAGACCCTGTCTCAAAAAATAAAAACAAGGGCCGGGGATTTAGCTCAGTGGTTCTGCCGCCTGCCTTGCAAGGAAAAGGTCCAGAGTTCAATCCCCTGTACCAAAAAAAATTAAATAAATAAAATAAAAACAAGATAATCAATATTGTGGGGAGTGCTGGGGATTGAACGAGCAAATGCTGTACCGCTGACTGAGCTCCATCCCCAGCCCTCAGCCAAGCATTAGACACATTATCCAACAAGAAAACTTGGGGTTGGGGTATAGCTCAGTGTAGCACTTGCCCAGCCATGAGGCTCTGGGTTTGACCCCCAGCACGGCCCAAAATAATAACAGTGGAAAAAAATAAGAATAAAAAAGAAAATCTGGGGCCCGGGATTTAGCTCAGTGGTGCCACCACCTGCCTGGCAAGTTCAAGGTCCTGAGTTTGATCCTGGTGTACCGAAAAAAAGAAAACTGGGTCTGAGACATGAAAAGATGTACAAAGTCAGCAATGGTGGACCAAGTTTATCCCATCTCCTGACTGTGGTCCAGCAGCTCTCTATGGTGCCCCAGCCTCTCTACCTGTTCCTCCTGGAGAAGTAACAGAGTGTAGGTCCCTTCCTATAGCTGAGGTGGCCAAGGACAGACTTTCTGTTTGTCCTTTCCTGCCTCCACAGGTGGCCCCAGGGGGCCCTCGCCACTGCCCCCACCACGTGGCTCGGTGGGTTGAGCCCACGGCCCTGTGTGAGGAACTTCTGCTTCCCCTGGAGAAGCCACAACAGGATGGTGGTGCCCGCTTGCTGCTGACAGGCCTCCACGCCTGTGGGGACCTGAGTGTCTCCTTGCTGAGGCACTTCTGCTGCTGTCCTGAGGTGGCAGCCCTGGCCTCTGTGGGCTGCTGCTACATGAAGCTCAGCGAGCCTGGCGGCTACCCGCTGAGTCAATGGGTGGCCGGGCTGCCTGGCTGTGAGCTGCCCTACAGGCTCCGGGAAGGGGCCTGCCATGCCCTGGAGGACTATGCTGAGCGGCTGCAAAGAGCTGGCCCCAGCCTCCGAACCCACTGCTACCGTGCGGCACTGGAGACCGTCATCCGCCATGTGCGACCCGAGCTTCGTCGCCCCAGCGTGCAGGGGATCCCCAGGGTCCATGAGCTCCAGATTGAAGAGTGAGGTTGGGGGGGCGTTGCCCCTGGAGACCTGACTCCCTGCCACCCACTTTAGTTTTTCCAGAGAAAATCTGCCTAGAGGAGTGATGGTCGGACTCCTGACTGGGGCAAGCTGCCCAGATGTCTTGGGAAGTTGTCCTTAGCCAGGTGCAGTGGCACACACCTACGATCTAACTCAGTTACTCAGGAGGCTGCCTGGAGAACTTAAGTGAGACCCTGACTGAAAAGGGACTGGGAAGGTAGCTCAATTTGAGGCTCCGGGTTCATCCCCAGCACTGCAACCAAAAAAAAAAAAAAAAAAAAAAAGTCCTTACCGTATCAGGAGACTGTGAAAGAAACATGATTGTTCTGTTTGCAATGCTGGGACTGGGACTCAGACCCAGGGCTTCACGCATGCTAGGCAAGTACCCTACAACTGAGCTATACTCCATTTTAAATGGTAATAATGTGGCCAAATAACTGGACAAAACTTTACTGAAAATAAATTTTTTGATTAATTTGCCATTAAACAGTTTACAGCCAGAGAAACCCTTAATGTATTTTAGGCCAGGCACTGGGGTGCATGCCTATAGTCCCAGCTATTTGGAAGCTGAGGTAGAAGGATCATTTGAGCTCAAGAGTTTGGGGTCATGATGAACAACATCACCTCTTTTGTTGTTGTTTTGTTTTGTTTCAGGAATGAGGATTGAACTCAGAGCCTTGTCCTGAGTTTATCCGCAGCCCTTTTTTATTTTTTGAGACAAGGTCTTCCCAAATTGCCCAGGCTGGTCTTGAATTTGTGATTCTTCTGCCTTAGCCTCCTAGGTAGCTAGGATTACAAGTGTGGGCCACCACATCATGAGACCCTGACTCAAAAAAATACAATTTAGCTGCATGTGGTGCCACACATCTATAATTCCAGCACTCTGGGGGCAGAGGCAGGATTACCACAAGTTCAAGGCCAGCCTGAAATATACAGTGTGACCCTGTCTCAAGCAAACAAAAAAAGTTGTGTATTAGGGTAGCAAATCAAGCAAAGTTGGAGTCAAAATACGGACAGGCAAAGTTAAAAGTGGGAGGTGGAGGTTCCTAAAACCCTACTAAGTGCCCTCTGGCTGACCCTGCAGATACGTGCAGCGGGGCCTACAGCGAGTGGGGCTGGACCCCCAGCTGCCACTGAACCTGGCTGCCCTGCGGGGTCACCAGGCCCAGGAGAACCGGGTAGTGGCCTTCTTCAGCCTGGCCCTCCTGCTCGCCCCACTGGTGGAGACGCTGATTCTGCTGGACCGGCTGCTCTACCTCCAAGAGCAAGGTGAGGGGGGCTGCGCTTTGGCATTCCTTCTGCTGCCCTCAGCCTCACACCCACCAGAGCCCAGTCATCACCTCCTGGGGTGGGGGTTCCTTCGGGAATGCAGATTCCGACCACATCAGCCTCTGCTGGTGCCTCCCTCAGGTGTTGTAACCAAGTGTTCCAGGCACAGAGAACTTGAAGGGCTTGAGGACAGCCTCAAGTTGGTGCCTCAGACACCCCAGTTCCTCCTGAGGAGTCTGCCTGGGGAGGGCTGCTGTGCCTGCAGGCTGGCAGGAAGTCCTGAGCGAGTCTGGCCTGTGTGTCCCCTCCTGATAAGCCCCACCTTTTTTTTTTTTTTTTTTGGTACCGGGGATCGAACTTGGGTCCTTGCGCTTGCACAGCAGGCAGCGAAACCATTGAGCTCAATCCCTGGCCAGCCCTACCTTTCTTCCAGGCTTCCATGCTGAGCTCCTACCCATCTTCAGCCCTGAGCTGTCCCCCAGAAACCTGGTCCTGGTGGCCACCAAGATGCCCCTGGGTCCAGCCTTACGTGCTCTGGAGACTGAAGAGAGCTGACACTGCTCGAAGAAGACATCAAAGACCCCATCCGAAACCATCAGGAGCCAGAGGGGCGGAGTGCACCTCCCACCCAGAAAGCAGCACCCTGCATCCTCCCTCGGATCCTTCAAGTTAATACTCTCTCCTGCCATGTGTTTTGTTTGTTTTTGGTACCAGGGATCGAACTTGGGTCCTCGCACTTCTGAGGCAGGCAGCAGAACCATTGAGCTAAATCCCCAGCCCTCTGCCATGTTTTGTTTTGGTACCCGGGATTGAACTCAGGTCCTTGTGCTTGCAAGGCAGGCGGCAGAACCATTGAGCCAAATCCCCGGCCCCTCTGCCATGTGTTTTGTAATACTGCGTGACGTTTTTAATTTATTAAAACCCAAAAGACTTTATTTTCCATCTGTTTCTCTTTTTTTGGTACCAGGGATTGAACTCGGGACCTTGTGCTTTCGAGGCAGGCGCTGGAACTGCTGAGCTAAATCCCTGGCCCTCCCAACTGTTTCTAAGAAGTAGACAGGACAGGTGCACACCTGCCCTGCAGAGTACCACTGCTTGATGCCCTGTCCAGCTGGTGGCATAGGTGGCACCTTCTGTTGCTCAGAGAGTCTCCATGGAGGGAACTGTTGTCCCTTTAGTTTCTATTCCATCCCCAGGAAGGCTGCCTTCCAGACTGTGCTACCATGAGGAAAGCAGCTCCTCCTCAGGCCCTGGAGTGGCACACTAGGCTGGGGTGTCACTAGCAGACAGGATGCACCCGGGAGGACTCATGGTACTTTATTAGTATCCAAGAAACAGGCACCTCAGCCTTCACAGCTCAGACAAGGGAGAGCTACTATCCCAGGCTCAATACCAGTAGACTTTCTTGTATCTCCTGGTCTCCTGGATTCCCATCGCCTCCATCACCTCTTCCTCCAGTGTCTTCAGGCGAGGCACGTACGTCCTTTCCAGGGCATCTTCCACGGATGTGTCTTTGGGGCCATCTGTTGAAGTGGAGGAGAGAGACAGCCAGGACTATTTTCCTTTCCTCTCACTCCAGCCACCCCCACCCTTTTCCTGCTTCTCACATAGCCTCACCAATCCACGTTTCAGGGATGATGCCATCAGCTCTAGGAAATTCGGGTTTGGGGATAATTCTTCCTGATCTTGCAGAGATTCGAACCCGCTCTCCTGCCTCAGTGAATCTCCACTCAATCTCAGTGGGTTTCCTGGTAGATACGGAGTAAGCCTGACCTAGGATCCAGGACCTGCTATCACATCCCATCCCAAAGTGGGGTAGTGGTTAAAAGCACTTAAGTCACCCACCACCTTATTTCTCTACCTTTGTATTGGCGGTGCTCGTCAGGAGTCATGCACAGGAGATGGACCCCTCAATTTCCAGAGCAACCAACCCACCATTCCACTGGATGAATGGGCTGCCCACCAGTCTGTGGTCAAACCGTCAAGGACCCAAGGTGAGAAGCCCGCTCCATAGTCCCAGGTGCTTGCCTGTCCACAGGATCCACAAGTTTAACCTGGTTGTGCAGCAAGGGGGCTTCACTAGGAATCATGGTTCCCCGAGAATCCTTGGTCCTGCCCACATAGCGGAAATGCTGTCCGAGAGAGGGGCTATCAGAAAACAAGGTGTGAAGGGGGCCTGCCCTTGAATGCCCACCACATTCAGTCCAAGCTGAAAAGCAGGAGGCTCGCTCCTACAACCACCCTAAGCCAGTTTCCTGCCACCTTGTGCTGCTCTTAATGGACAGCAACACTGGACAGGCTTCCTGGGCGTCCTCGTCCACTCTTCACTTACTGTGTTCAGCCCCTCCAGGACTACCCAATTTCGCTCCCGGATGACTTGAACTACTTTGCCCTGCTTCCCAGCATCTTTGCCTTCCAGGATCTCCACCTGTGAGAGGACGTGAGGGTCAGGGAAGAGGATCTTTTCCTGGAGCCTCCCCATCACTCTGTCCTCTTGTCTGAAGCTCTCACCATGTCCCCACAGAACAGGTGCCAGTCTTCATCAGAGATGGGCTCCACAAGTACTGGGCGCCGCCTGATCCACGGGCGGTTCTTCCTCTTTTCTGACAGGGAGCCTGGGCGGCTCATTCCATAGCGGTGGTAGGGAGGCAGCGTGACCTTAGATGCCAAGGCCAGCAGGGCAGAGAGACGCATAGCTGGAGGCTGTGAGAAATCTCACCAGTGAGACTCAGGAAGCTTCCTTGTCGGCTCTGGGGGAGAGAGAAGCAAGGGAAGGAACTTTTTTTCCTGTATTACTGGGAATCAAATACATGGCCTTACACTGACCTACATCCTTGGCCTTTTTGTGTTTAAGACAGGGTCTCACCAAGCTGCTCGGGCTGGCCTTCAACTTGTGATCACCTACCTAGCCTCCTGGACAGCTGGGATTCCAGGTGTTTGCCACCATACCTGGCAAGAACATTTTTAACCTCTTACCAGTCTAGTTATTTAAATACAGGATGACCAAAAATTGCATATTTTTTGTTAATAATATAACAGGAAAAAAAAAGATAACAAGAAATATAAAAAACACTTTTATCAAATGTGTTCAATACAAGAATGGACTGGCTGACACGTCTTAGAAACACCACACCCCATCAGGGATCGCACATGAGGCACAACAGCGAGTATCCTACAGATTCTTTCCTCTTTAAATTTGAAACTAGATTGATTGTGCCTCTGATGTTGTAGTAGTAAACATAGTGTGGTTCTTGTTTCAAAAAAATTCCTTAAGCCCTGGTGTGGAGGTGGGACACTGCCAAGGGTTCTGGAGTGTCCAGTGACCCTTTGGTACAGGCAATGCCGCCGTGCCAGTGCTGCTCTCGTGCACAGTGCCGCTCTTCACAAGGTGCAGTCAGTTCCATCCTGGTGTTTGTTGTCGGTAACCGGTCACTTGTTTTTTAATCACCTTTATTTTGGTGGCAGATGTTGCTTGATGGAGCTTGTTACTCTATGTTTTGGGAAGGTAAGCGGGTCCATATTTTTTCTTTGCCTTGAAATGAATGAATTAGGAAGACTGTATTTACTTCTGCTTACTGTTTTAAGTACATGTTTAATGAGATAAACTATAAAATACCTGGTTTTGTGTACTATATGTACATTTGGTTTTTAAATAGCCTTTCCAAAGAAATGAGGGCATGATTATTGTACAATACTGTGACTGATATAGTTTGATGTACAGAGCAGAACGTGTTCTTCAGGATAAAAATATTTAATGGCACTTGTTCTTGTATTTTGATCTTTTGTTTCTAAAATACTCCAACACCTTACAAAGTGCTAAGTAGGTGATAGTGACCCAACTGGTTGCTAAGTGAGTATTTGTTTAAATCTATACAGTTTCAAGTGTTTACTTATACAAAGAGTCTACATATTTTCAAATAATTTAAAATGCTTTATATTATTTGGCTAGAAACTTTAATAAATGAGTTTTTAAAAAATAAAGATTTTTGCTTTCTGAAAAAAAAAGAATGGACTGGCTGAAATGACACCTGCCCGAGGGACACTCAGGAGAGTCCGTGTGTAAACATGCTGCCTGAGTGACACTGGGGGTAAACTGTCAAGTGGTTAAAGCACTCTGTGTCACAGTGGGCCTCATCTCTTTGAACCCCCCAAGATTATATTATTTTCACTTTACACATGAGGAACAGGCTAAGCCATGCCTACATCACAACACTTTAATGTGGGGGAATCAGCATTTAAATTTACATGTATCTGACCTCAAAGTCTGAAATATTCATTGAGTTTAGGGGCCATGGTATCTCTCCTCTCACTCCTGAATCCAGCAGATCCCAGTAGAATCTGGGACGTAGTAGGTACTTGAGAAAGTTATTAAATGAGTGTACAGTGGGATAGCAAGGAAACAGGCAATGGAACAAAAACACTGGCATGGGGTCCAGAGACAGGCGGTCATAGGGCAAAATGAAGAGAGATAGCAAAGATTAAAAACAAGTTAAAATGTTCCTATTCCACAGACAGGAAATAAGCACTCCTCCCTATGCTTCTTTTTGGTACCGGGGATCAAACTCAGGTCCTTAGGCTTTCGAGGCAGGCGGTGGAACCACTGAGCTAAATCCCTGGCCCCCTATGCTTCTTTTTTAAGGGAAAAGGACCTAGAACTAAACTCTAAGGTTATTATGTCCTAAATTTCCCAATTAAGTATATGTTGTAAGCCTCCCAAATTTTGGAAAATGGACTAAATTAATGGGTAGTAAAAGAACTGGCAAAGATAAAATTGGCTTCAGTTTACTGAGAACTTATTACCTGCCAGAACTTATTAATGCCTTTCTGGCCAGGTGTGGTGACACACACCTGCAATCCCAGCACTCTGGAGGCTGAGGCAGGAGGATCTCTACAAGTTTGAGGCCAGCCTGGGCTACATAGTGAGTTCAAACCAACCTGAATTATGTGGCAAGACCCTGTCTTAAAAAAAAAAAAAAAAGATCCCCGGTACCAAAACATAATAATAAAATAAATGCAGGGCCAGGGATACAGGTCAGTGGCGTCTCATCTGTCTGGCAAGCGCAAGGTCCTGAGTTCAATCCCCAGTACTGGGGAGAAAATAAATAAATAAATGCTGCTGGGGATTTAGCTCAGTGGTTTCCCTGCCTGCTGCCCAAGCGCAAGGACCTGAGTTCGATCCCCGGGACCAAAAAAAACCCAAAAAATAAGTAAGTAAATGCCTTTCTGTATCTCATTTAAGCCTATGGACAAATGATAAAGTTACCATTAATCTTGTTTTATAAATAAGGATGAACCTACCTTCAAAGTATGAATAAAGTTCGCTACAATGGCATAGAGTCCAGGACTGGGGAGTCAGACCACCTGACTTCCTACTGTCCTCTCCCTTAGTCCCTACTCTGCCACTGTCTTCTGATCTTTTTTTTTTTTTGGTACCGGGGATCGAACTCAGGTCATTGTGCTTGGGCAGCAGGTGGCGAAACCACTGAGCTAAATCCCCGGCCATCTGCCACTGTCTTACTGTGTGACTACAGACAACTTCTGAGTTTCATCTCACCACTCCTAACTCTACAGCATTCCCAGTGTCCTTTAAGTCATTTTAAATATTTTACCAGTGCAAGGTGTAGAATAACATGAATAGTATTACCCTTTATGGATAAACAATATTCTGATGGGCATATTTAGGGGGAGGAAACAAGAAACTAAAGTACATTTCTTCAGGAGAGGAACTGTTTCCATAACACTTTCACTTTCTAACGATGTGCATAAAAAAAAACAACTAGTGTATCTGAAGAGTGAAATGTTGGCCCTTTTCCTTGTTTACACATCTTAGTATGCTTTTTTTCCCCCGCCAGTACTGGGATCAAACTCAGGACCTTGCACTTGCAAGGCAGGTGTAGTGCCACCGAGCTAAATCCCAGGTCCCTTACACATCTTAGTATGAAAAAAAAAGTCCAGTGTTATCAATTAATGCTGGTTTAATATATGAGCCTAAGTAACCCTATTTCAGATTCAACAAATGATGATTGCAAAGCACTACTGTGACAAACCTAATGGTGGGAATTTCACTATTATCGGCATTTGGTCTCCACACTGCCCAGGAAGACAGATGGTCAGGTCCAAGTGCCATGAGGTCCTTTTTATGGACAAGGAAACCAAAGCCCTGAGAGTTGACGTGACTTGCCCTGGGTCACAGCGGTTGTGGCGTGGGGCCAATCTTTGGACTATAGCCCCTTGCGTGCGGCTGCAGAGTCCCCTAACCGCAGTCATCCTAGGTCTGTGCCTCAGGAAGGTGAACCCAGGAGCCAGCCCAGCCCAGGGCAGCTTCATGCCCCCCTAGACCTTTCCCTTCTGCTTCCTCTACAATCTGGACAGGCTGGCGTCCCTTCTGCAGCGGGACTTTCACTGCGTGCTCTGGAGGCGCCACGGAAGCTCGTGGTGTGGAGCATCTGTCCCTCGGGTCACGGCTCCAAAGGCTTCGCCAGCCAGCCTGCTCCAGGTTGCGCACCCGGCTCCCACACATCACCAGGCCCCAGCTTTCTCCACCCACCCGCTCCAGCTTTCTGGTGCAGAGAATGCAAGGGAGGCGACTGACCTACAGCTAGAGAAAAGGGAGGCCCTTCCCGCACCTGCCTGCTGACGAACCTCGGAGATGTGGTACTTCTAGGTGGAGCGGCCCCCAGCCGCCCTTCCGCGGCTCAGCCGAGCCTCCGCCAGTCACCTCGCACGTGGGCCCTCAACCCGCCCTCTGAGCTTCTGGGAAATGTAGTCTAATTGCAGAGCGGAAATTCAATCACTAATCTGGGCCCTCGGGATGCTGGGAGTTGGCGGAAACAGGAAGTTTGGCGGGCAATAGGCGATCGAGAGAGCTCAAGAACGCCGTGAGGAATGTCGGGAATCAAAGGCGAAGCTGGATAGGCTGACGTGCCTCGCACATTCTGCGCACGCTCTGCGCGGAGGGCCCTGGGAATTGTTGTTCCTAGAGAGGATGGCTCCATTTTCTAGGTGGATATGACTCCCTGTTCCCCGGAGTGTTTCCCTTTCTGGTAGAGACTGTAGAGGTTTCTGCCTTGCCTTTCTCAGCTGGAAAGAGCCTGGGAATATTAAAAAAAAAACCCTAGGCTTTCTACAGGAAGGGATGAGAAGCGGGCCCTTCCAGTGCTTATAGTCTAGTCACAAAATGTCAGATCTGGAAGAAATCTCAGGAGATGATCAAATCCAGTTTTCCAAGTAACGTGGGGAACACTGGAGGATCCCACCCTACCAGCATTCCCCCACCCCAGCACCACCGCCAGTTAAGGGTGACAGCTGTAGCTCTAGTGGAGCAGAAGAGAGACCAGATCTCTCAGTGCTCTGCCTGACCCTGCGTGCCACAATAATCAGTGAAGGATGTATTCTTGCACGGCCACCAGGCCGGTAGTCAACTTGGAAGCCTGGGGCAGCTACCCACTTTGGCCTGTACCTTGTGTGATGTCAGACAGGAACTGCAGTGAGCAGACTAACTCGTGGCAAGAACAGCCTGAGGAAATAATGATCTTTTTGTTCTTTAGATGGGCAGATCTAAGAAAGCATCTCCTTACTAAATGATTAAGATCAGATTGTCATTGGGCCACAAACCCTCACCTCTAAGAAGGGATTCACTGGTCTATGATCACTGTCTCCTAAATAAATCATCCCTAAATCACCTCCCAACAAGACAATCTTTGGAGCAGTTTTCCATCTCCTGTCTGCTAGCTTTTCGAACGGTCCCCTTCCTTGCCTCCACACCTTGTCTCTCGACTTAAATGCCCTTTTGTGCAGCCACCAGCGGGACCTGGGTTGGGTGGCAGTACCATTAGCAGGGAGAAAGGGTCATCTGCTTTAATCTCTGGCCTTCCCCTTGAGCCCTGGGAGTCAAATTGTTCCTACAGCCAGCCCAAACACCCACAGCTAGGCTGTGGCAGGTATTGACAGCTTCTTCCCACACCCCATTTCTTGTGCAATTTTTCTGGGTGGTACTGAGGATTACACTCTGGGCCTCTGCACTCAGCTACACCCCCAGACACTGCCTCCCCAACAAAGGCTAAGTCACCAAAGCTAGGGTCAAACTCTTGTGATCTTCCTGTGCTAGAATTTCAGGTGTGCACCACTATGTCCCCAGACCTCGTCAGGGATGAAACTGTCTTAAACAGTGTGCAGAAAAGGCAGAATGGATGGTGTATGGTTTATTCTAAGACTGCTTTCATTTAGTTTTAGGTTTCTAGTGGCCTGAGAAGGGGGCAGACTGAGACTTCCAACCTTCCAATCTGAGAAGGTGATTTGGAAGTCATTTCTATTCCCTTCTTCAGTTAACCAATATGTCCCCAAAGGATCAGACAGAATCCAATGTAGTAATCAACAGGTTTTATTTTCCTAGAACTGAATTTATCTATAGTTCTCAGAGCTAAAGTTCCAAAGCTACAGTCAGCAATTTTTCATCAGAGCCCAAGGGAGAGGGGCAGGGATAACAGACAGAAGACAGAGCGGCAGGAAACCACTAGGAAGAGGCTGGGAGCGGGTACTCACTCTGTTGTCTCAGTGAGTTTACAAACCAGATCTGGTGAAAATACCAACGGACCAGGTAAGGGTATGTGGGTAGGAAATGACACCAGAAGAAACACCAAAGCCCCAGCTACAAAGAGTCATCCAGCCCCACACAGAAGGGGAGCCTCCCAGTGCACCTCAGAAATGGGGGCAGCATGGGGAAGGAAGGAGCAGGACAGGGAGCACACAAAGGGTTAGGGGGCCTTCAAATTTTTTTTGTAATTTTCTTTTATTAAAAACATTTCCTAAAAAATTTGTCTCTTCCTTTACATCTGGGTGGTGTATGTAACTGTAGGCTGGCCTTGAGTACTGTGGGAAAGGGGACAGGGCAGCTGGGAGTTTCCCCAGGGCACCCCATCTCTGGCCCCAGAGCTCTATAAAGGAGGCAGACACTCGACACTCCTACCCACACGGGGGAAGCCGACCCTTCAGATCTCAGGAAGCCCCAAAATCTTTTGATGATAACCAAACCCCCAGAACCCTTGGATCATCAGCAGAAGACTGGGTGAGGTCAATCTCGGAGGACTTACGGGATGGAGCCCCTCCCCCACAGGCGGTCCCACTTTCCCTGAATCTCGGCAGCTGGGAAAGACGTGTGGGACTGGGGACAGAAGCCCAGGACGCTGCCTTCTGGCCCCCAACACCCCCAGCCTGAAGCCCACCCTGCTGTTTATGCTCCACCCTTTCCACGCCTACCCAAAGCCACCAGAATGTCTATGGGAGAGGAGGAGGGGGTCAGGCGGAACAGGAGCCCTGGGAAACAGCTTCAAGCAGCATGGAGCACAACAGCCTCGTGTCCCCCAGGGAGCTGAAGACACAGCAGACTGGGGACCCGGAGGTGAGGGCCAGATCAAGCTCCAGGGGCCGGGCTCATAGTGGGGAACAAGTGGAGGGGGAGAGCGGGTGGGGTGGGACGGGAGAGGGTTCCCAGTTTGAGGCCGTGGCCAGTTTCCCCAGTAGCACCCAGACAGCAGCAGGAACGGGGCAGGGCTCCTCTTGAAACACTGGTGGCTACAGGCTGTGGATGGATGGTTGAGGGAGAAGGGTTACTGGGTGGCTGGGCCTGGCCTCCTGGGGAGCCCCCGCAGCCCGAGGGGCTGACTGTGCAGGCCCTTCTCTCCCCACTCACCTCTCATGATCTCGGACGCCCCGGGCCTCAGCATCCTCCTTGGCTGCCGCCGCCTTCTCCTCCTTCTCCTCCTCCTCTTCCTCCTCCTCCTCCTCCTCCTCTTCTTCCTCCTCCTTGTGAGGAAGGCCTCGGCCAGAGATGGGCTCCGAGGGGGTGCTGTTCTTCTCCCCCTCTGTGGAGACCGGCCTCTCACCCTCCAGGGTGGCTGCCTCCTTCTCCTCCCCTTCCGGGTCTTCTGCCTCCTTGGGACGTTTAGGGGAGTCCTAGACAGGAGGGGCAGAGATGCAGCAGGCTGAGGCTAGAGAAGATGGGTACCAGCCGCCTAGTTGTACCCCCACCCCAGTCTGCTCTTTTTTTGGTACCAGGGATTGAACTCGGGACCTTGTGTTTTTGAGGTAGGCAACGGAACCACTGAGCTATATCCCCGGCCCTCAGGCTCCTCTCTTTCCTGGGCTGATATCCAGTCTGTTCTTCCACAGCCCCATCCTTTATTTTCCTCATTTTTTTTTTTTGTTGTTGGTACTGGGGATCAAACTCGGGACCTTGTGCTTGCAAGGTGGGCGTCAGAACCACTAAGCTAAATCCCGTTCCCCTGTCTTTTATTTTTTGAGATAGGGTCTCACTACACAGTCCAGGCTAGGCCGGAACTCCTAGAGATTGTCCTGCCTCAGCATCCGGCTGCTGGCATCACAGGTGTGTGCCGTCACGCTGGGCTGCAGCCCCCTCTTAACTATATGCTGGCTTCTATCCCCATCTTTCCAGCTCTCTGAGCCCAGGGGTCTCTCTCAGCTTGAGGGCTCCCTGAGGGAGAGCCGGGATGCTGCAGGGGACTGGGCTGACGTCCTCGGGGCCCTCACCTCCAGCAGGTCGCCTGCTCTCCTCTTCAGGGACCCCTTCTCGTTCTTCTCCTTGGCCGGCTCATCGATGACCAGCTTCCCCTCCTCATCGCTGCTACCCTCCGCATTCCCCTTCTTGTCACCGTCTCCCTCTGTCGCTTCAGGCTCTGGCTCTGGCTCTGGCAAGCAGCTCTTTTTCTGAGAGGGCTGTGGCAGAGAGGCCAGAGGCTGAGTGGCACCAGCGGCTGCCATGCCGGGCCCCTCCCCAGGCCCCCCTCGACCACTCACTTTTTTCCTTTTCCCGCCTCACCCCCACCCCCACCCTGGTGCCCAGTCTCACGAGTGATTTGAGACCCACCTCTGTCGGATTAGCCCCCGGGGAAACCCACTGGCCGGGCAGGCAGGGCTCTGTGCAGGAGGGGGGAGGGCTGGAGCAGGAGGCAAGACCTCGGGTCAACTTCTCCCAAAGGGAGCTGGGACCCTTTCCCCGCAACCCCGCCCCCCACCCTCCCGCCTCCTCCTGCCCGGCTCACGAGCACCTCTTGCTGGAAGCCTTCGTGGGGAGAGGAAGGCCATGTCCTGCACTCACGGTGGGCCCAAGGCCTGCCCCTACTTACCGCCACCATCTAACAGTGGCCCCTGACCACAGCTACACAACACAGAGGCCCCAGCCCCTCTTTCGGGAAGCCCCTCCCCACACCCCCAAAGCCCTGATGTCCCAAGGACTAAGCATCACCTGGGGCCGGGCTCTCGGAGCCCATGGCCACATCTGCTGTCCAGGGGCCTCAGGGGTAGACGGCAGCTCACCTGGTAGCCAGAGGCCTTGACAGTGGGGTTGTTCTCGATCTCCCATAGCCCCTCGCTGAACCCTTTCCGCTTGTTAGGCTTGCCAAACTTCTCCTTGGACTCCTCGTAAGGGAAGAGGTCTTTGGGGCCCAGGAATGCCCTGGTGAGAGATGGGAGACTGTGCTCTCGAGCCCTTGCTGCTCCTGGGCTGCACAGCCCGACACAGAGGGGCCACCGTGACCACCTCTCTCCCCAGAGAGCCCCCCCCACCCGCAGGACCTCCCAGCCACACCTCGCTGCCCTTCACTCACGTCTCGTGGGTCCCAAAGAAAAAGACTTGGTACTTGTTGGCTGTGGATTTCATGGTAGCCTCGGGCATCTCATCAATCTGGGGTGAGAGGAGGGAGGGGAGTGTGAGCCGAAGGTCTGAGCTTCAGTCAGAGGCAAGAGCACAGACCTCAAGGGCGGCAGGAACGGGTCCTCCAGCGACCACCAGAATGGCTCACAAACCATTTTTAGCAGCAAACTTTGCTCAAACTCAGTCTGACATGAAACCCGGAGTCCCTCCCTTGCTTTAAGAGCCAGACAAGTACATCCCCCAGGGTGTCAGGCACCTGCCCCTTTGCTTTTCTGAGATGGGGGGGGCTGCTATATGGCCCAGGCTGCCCCCCAACTCACAATCCTTCTGGCTCAGCATGGCCTGGAATAAAAACACAGCTCCAACTCTCTTGTTTTCTCGCCCACCCCACTACAATTTCCAAATGTCGATCTGTGCATCTCATTCCCTTTCAACACCTCATGACCAGGGCCCACCTGTCCCATTTCTTCCCCACAAGGGGAGGGTCTGAATCTCCTCTGCCAGCTTCAGTTGTTAACCAGACACCTCACGAAACCTCTGTTTCCTCGACTGTAAAATTGAGACACTCTCTGCACTTAGACCATGATCACCATGCCAGCCCAGGGTGCTGCCCTCCGTTCTGGCCTCACGGCCTCTGCTCCACCATCACTTCCTCTAGAAAGCTTCCCCAGCGCCCGGGATTTAGCTCAGTGAAACTTCTGCCTGGGTACCCCTCCCTCACAGTTCCAGTTTGACACTGAGGATATATGTGTGGACTACTTGGGTCTCACCCACCCCCAGCTCAGAGACCAGTCTGCCCTTGTCCCCAGCACACAGTGGGTGCACAGTAAGTACGTGCTGAAGGAACCTGCAACACAGAGCAGACTATTCTGGCTTTAGTGCAGAGGGGAGGTCAAAGGGGTGCCTGGTCAGCACTCGCTCTGACAGCCCCCAAAGCTTCTGAGGAACACTCCAAAAACCAGCAAAATCGTCAAAAGCTCTTTGTTTTACAGATGAGGAAACTGAGACCAGAAAAGAAGTGATTTGCCCAAAACAAAAGGGCAAATTAGCAAGAGCCAGGTCTCCTACTAGATCTTTTGACTTGATCCCGTGCCCAGAGTCCTGGCCCAAGACCAAGGCTGCGGTGGAAAGGGTGGGAGGCACAGAGATCTGAGGTCGGGAAATGAGGCCGTGGCCTAGCCAGCCCCTGCCAGCCCCTCCCAGATCAGGGGCTGGAAACAAGCGAGGCCAGCCTGCGGGGCGGGAAGACACTGGCACGGGAAGACACGGGCACGGGACTACAATTCCCAGCAACACTTGCAGCAGCCCCAGCAGCCTGGCTTCCAGCCGACAGAGGCCAGGTGGCCATGTTGACTGGGGCCCCAGACAGACAGGCCAGGGCAGTGATTACAAGGAGACAGGGACAGAGGACCCGACTGGAGGCCTGGGGAGACACAGAGGCTGAGTGGATGGGAATGAGCCGAGACACACCCAGGAGCGGGGTGAGGCCCGGGCACGAATTCGAGGGGCATCTCTTCCCCGGCTCAGGAGGCTCCAGACTTCAGGGCACCTCCCCCTTGCCCCGTGGCCTCCAGGGACAGAGGTCCAGCCCCTCCCCCCAGGAAGACCCAGCACAAACTGGGCCCTCCCTACCAGGGCCTGCTAGGGTGTGAGAGCAGGGGGTGGAAAGGCACGCGGTTCCCCCCCCAACAAGATCCTCGTTGCCATGACAACCCAACCCCGCCCCCAGGGCCACTCAGCAACCAGGAATGTGACCGCCCCTCCCCCCAGGCCCTCTATCCGGATTGGGGAGGAAGGGACACTAACACCCCACCCCCCAAGCCTGGAGTCTGGCACCTGGGTCCCCAGAAGTGCTGGAAACCACAGCTAGGGCTGGCAAACTGGGTGGGGGGATGTGCTCTCACAGGGCCAGTCCTGGGGGAGGGGGAGGCTGGACCGGACACCTGGTGCCTGTCACCAGCTAGCTCCCAGCCCTCCTCTCAGAGGGGTAAGCAAAAACAAAATGAGGGCCTCCAGGGCTTAAGAGATCCCAGGAGATAGGGATAGGACAATAATAGCCTAGGCCCTTCCCTAGGCCTCCTGGATCTGCCTGCGCTCGCTGAACCCAGCAGGGGTGGGAGCCGAAGGGCCTGTGGCTGGGAGCGCAGCGAGCAACTTTGATCTTGCACTCTCCGTGCCCCCACCTGGGCCAGGACTTTAACAGGTTCAGAGTAAACGTGAGATGAAAGAGAAACTGAGGCCCAGGAAGGGAGTGGGGTGGGGGGAAGGGTCAGAAATGAGGCAGGTTCTCTCCAGAAAGGTAAGACTGCAAAGCACCTGGCTGCCCGGCTTCCCAGGATAGTGAGCTTCAGAGACAGGCAGCTGAGCCTGAATGGTGGGCCCGGGAGAAATTAAGAAGGACGGAATTAAAAATAGATTGAGACACACACCAGATACACCCCGCCTGCTGACTTCAGGCTCCAGAAAGGATGGGCCTGGAGATAAAGGGCCGAGAATAGGGCAAGGCTAGTTAGGTATATTTAAGAAAAGGGTCCTTCCACCTTCCCACCCAGACCTTGGGGAAGGGTGAGAGTGACCGGCCCTTCAGTATTAAACCCAGGGCATTCCCACTGAGCTAAATCCCCAGCCCTTAGTACCATTTTTAATTTTTGGTTTCAGACGGGGCTGGCGTTGAACTCACTATGGAGCCCAGGCATCCTCCTGCCTCAGCCCCTGAGTGCTAATAATTACATGCATGTGCTACCACACCTAGCTTTTAAATTTTGAGACAAGGTGTCACTAAATTGTCCAGGCTGGGCTCCAACTTGCAATCAGAGAGATCTCCAGTGGTGAGATTCTAGGCAAGTCCCACCTAGCCTGCCCCTATGTTCTTTTAATGGAATTCCAACCGCTCAGAAAGAGGAAGAGGGCTGGGGGGGTACAGCACACAGGGTTCATAAGGCCCTTAGGGCAATCCCCAACACTAGAAAGGGCTGTAGAGGACAGCGATCCCACTGCAGGGCACCTCCACTCAAGCTTAAAGCAAAGGGTGGTTCTTCCTAGGCAAGGAGAATATAAGGTGTCAGGGGAGCCCGGTACCCCAATACAGACATCTGTCTCCCAGTTGGTGGCTTCATATCCAGCCTGTGACTCAGAACCAGGGAGTCAATGTTAAGTGGGTCGGGATGCAGCCCAGATTCTAGGGACCGCACTGTAGCCCCCCCACCAGCTACCAGGAGAGGAGGCTCTGTGACCTTTGGGCCTTGCAGGGATCCAGGCAGGTTTCTTCTCAGGCCCTGGCCATCTGCTATACACCCCCACTCTACGTTTGAATGACACCCCATCCTGCATGTCATGAGGCCTGTAGAGGGACCTGAAGTGTGCACACAGGAGGAGTGAGGGGGATCGAACACTGCTCCCTGGGCTTCAGACCACAAGCACATCGGGGTCAAGGCGGAGGGAATGCTGAGCACATGCTGGCTGCCAGCGGAGAACCACCACACCCAGGGCTGGGCGGACCTGACCCAGGAACCGGAAAATCCAGGGCAGCAGGCAGTTAGACAGTTGGCGCTGGGAAGTGTGGCAACCCTAAAGGGGAGAGAAGAGGGGAGGACAAACGAGGAAAGACAGGGCCTTGGGCTGCTCAGGAGCTTTTCTGGGATTGTGAAACAGGAAAGAGAGGAGGAGGAAGGAATTTGAGGGGAAAATCCCTGAGTCTTGGAGTTTAACTGTTAAGTGCTTGGAGAGCCCCCAGGAAGTTGGGCAGGAAAAGGAAGGAAAGGAGAAGGTTAAGATGGAGTCACACCATCCTTCCAGGCAGGGCCTGTCACCACGTGGCCCTTCAGGCTGTGCTCGAAAGCACTGGATCCTTCCAGTCTCACTTAGAATCACCCATGCTCCACAGCAGCAGAGACCAAAGGAGGCAAGGTCCACAAGGTAGCCTTCACTGTGGCTGAGGATCTGGCCTGCCCCAGGGGCGCCCCTACTCCACACCCATCAGGGGCTGGGCCTCTCAGGGCTGAGACAAGCCCAGGGAATGGTGAGGAGACTCAGCTTTGTTCTTTGAGGGTTCATGGGGTGGTGTCTGGGAAGTAACAGTCTTGAGTGCTCCCCCTCCTGCTAACTAACTCAGGCAAAAGACAGGAAAAGTGTGGGGCCTAGTTAAGATCCAAGCCTGACCTCCCCACCCCAACTCTTAACTTTATCTAAAAGCTCCAGGCCTCAACTGAAGGACTCTGCCTCCCCTCCTGTCCTGGAGGCTCAGGGTGAAGATCAGATGGCATCCGAAGTCCCAGGCACTGGCCTCACTTCACAAGTCACCAGAATCCTCAGGGTCTTCCTGCCAGCCATCACTGTGGGTGCTCCTGTGTGTCCCTACCCCTTTGCCCTCTGCCCTCTTCCTGACCCAGAAGGGGTTCTCTGCAACCCACATTCCCGCCAACACCTCCTCGGGATAGCTCAGCCCGGCCTCTGGACTTTGTCTCACCACAGGAGGGAGAAGCAGTGGAGACCCGAGTTCAGTTCTTGCCCTGCCCACCAGGGCCTTGGCATGGGGGCCAAGACGCCAGTTGAACCAAATGGTACAGGGTAAAGTACAGGAGTGTTCACATGCCACACACACACACACCCCTCAGGAGGCCCTGGATTCGGGGAGAGCCCTGCTCCCTACACTTCTTACTTGATCCACACCAAAGCTCCAGGGAAGGAGGAACTCAAGGCATGGGATCTCAGGCACACACCACTCCCCCGACAGGGAAGAGTGGAAGAGTCTTGGAGTTTTCTCAGAGTGGCCGTGTGGGCCTGCCGTCCTCCGAAGGACTCAGGTGGGCCAGGGTAATTTCCCAGGCTCAAGGGAGTGAGTGTCGTCAGCCAGAGGAACAGCAATCTTACCCTGAGAAGAGGAGCCCAAAGCCACGAGGCAGGCCTCCCTCCACCCACTTCTAACCTTAGCTTTCCATCCACAGAAGCCCTACACTCCAGGGGGCTGAGTCATGCCTCTCCCAACACCAAAGGCCCCTCTAACCCACGTTAGAGCAAGTTGCCAGAGGCACTGCCCCCTGAGACCTCCATTCTACTCTAGGAACCGCACCACCAACCCTTCCCTAACCTACCTAGTCTTTGGGGAAAGGTGATAAACACCCAACTCCGAGCCTGGGCCCCACCCTCCCACCTGGCCAGGTGCTCAAGGCCCTTCTGTTGGCGGGCTCAGCTCACCGCAAGGCGAGGCGGGATGCTGGGGGTGGGGGGGCGACTCGACTCGGGCTCCCCTACCCGCACGAAAGCGGTCTAGACCGGGTTCCACCCCCACATGGGGCCCTGCGGTCCTCGGTCCCACATTTGCGCTGGCAACACAGGGAGAACACTAATGTACAACTGAGGGAGACGGGCGCTGGCGCATTAGTTTCCAGGGCAGGTAAATCCCTTCTTCCACCACCCCCACCGCCTCCTCGACCCTCCCAACTTCAGATCTCGCAGATGCCCCAAAGTTTTCTAGAAGCGCACTACGCGTCCACCCAGCCCTATCTGGGCAAGGATTCTTCGTAACCATTTGCCCAGGAAAAGGAGTCTGAACTGGGGGGTGACGACCAGTGGAGAAACGGGATCTCAAGAGGGGGACCGACGGCGCGGTGGGAGGAGTTACGCGGCCGGCCCGAACCCGCACCGCGCGCCCCAGCCGGCGAGAGTGGGGGTTGGGGGCGGAACCGAGCGCGGAGCCGGCAGGGGATCCGCGCCCCGAGTCCGCGCCGCGCACGCGCTCGCCAGGTGCGCCCCCCGCCGCTGCCACCGTTACGTAACCGGCGGGTGGGCTTGGGCGGTGGGGAACCGGGACCCGGGTGCCCTCCGCCCGCCCCGGCCCCAGGCGTTACGCAACCCCAGCCGGTGGGGCCGGGGTGCGGGCGGCGCTGCTCACCCGGGCCGGCCAGTGCGGGTAGCCCTTCATCTTGGCGAACACCAGGTCTCCACATTTGTACTCCTTCTGCCGGTTGGATCGCGACATGGCGAGGCTCCGGGCTCCCCGGGCTCCGCGCCGGGCCGGGAAGCGTGAGCCCAAGTTTGGGCGCGCGGCGGTAGCGGTGGCGGCGCCGCTCCGCTCCGGCCCGCGCGCGGCCCCCGCCTCGATGGCTGCCCCCGGCCCGAGCTCTGGCGCGGCCACGGTCTCCACCCGCGCGCCGCTCGGACGGGGCGGGCGCGGGTCCGACGACGCTCGGCGCAGCGGTGCGCGCTCGTGCAGTTGTTTGTGTTTGAAATTCAATTGCTCCCTCCTCGGCGCGAGGCCTCTTCCTCCACCCCCGCCGGTCCCACTCCTCCCCTCCCTCCTCCCGGCCCGCTCCTCCCCCCGCGCCCCGCCCGCGGCGGTTTGATGCGCGCGGCGGCTTGACGCCCCACGCCTGCTCCTGCCGGGCGCCCAACCCCGAGCCGCTCGGCGGCGCGCGGCGACTCAGGCCCGAGCAGCCGAGCGCCGAGCGCACCAAGCGGGCTTTGTGTGCCTGCTGTCGGTAGTGCCTGCTGTCGGTAGTCCCCGCCCGCTTGCCGTCCGGGAGGAGCTGGCGCCCGGCTGGACGGGGCGCTCCCCTCCGCCCCAAGCACTGCTCCGCTCGGCGCTCACCGCCGCGGCTCGGCCGAGCCCAGTGCACGCGTCTGGGCTCCGCGTCTCCCAGCGCTCTGCTGCATCCCCTCCGCGGGGTGCCTGGCAGCGTTCGAGGCGCCCAGACGACGGGAGTGAGTACCGCGCCGCCGCGCACAGGGGCCACCCCGAACCCCACGTGCTTGGAGTCTGCGGGGTGGCTTTGGAGACGTCGGGGATTCGAGCTCCACATCGGCCTTCGCAGCCAGGAGGCGTCCGAGGGACTGAGCACCAGGCGGCTATTCCGGGTGCCTTAAATCTCCAGCTCCCTGCTGCCTAGCGGAGAGCTGGGCCCGACGATCAGCTCTCCTCGAAGGCACGAGCTCCGTTCTAGTGGCAGAAGACGGCAGAGCGCGGCGCTACCGGGAGTGGGGCGCCTTCGAGGCCTTCGCAAAGTGGTGACTTTGAGATTGGCCTTAAAGAATAAGTAGGGTTTCGCCAAATAAAACTTTATTGTAGTTACAGGATTGGTTTGCTGTCACTGTGTCCAAATTTTAAACATCTGTAGTCTCTTAGAAGTTTAAAAAGAGAAAAATAAATAAATAAATAAAAGGCAGCAAAATCATGTACAGGTACAAATTCCCTACGATGGATGTTATTGTGTTTATTAAAATATGCCAATTAAAAAAACCATTTGGGGTGGGGGATAAAGGTCAGAGGTACAGTTCCTGCCCAGCGCATGTGTGAGACCCTAGGTTTGATTCCCAGCCCAGCAATAAATGAATAAATTTGGGGTCTTCTCTTGCTGTGATTTTGGGAGAAGGGGGCTGAGACAGGGTCTCACTGTAGCCCAGGCTGACCTCCAACCCACAGTGACCCTTCTGTGCTGGGATTTCAGGTAGGCACACCATGTCCGGCTCTGTTGCGGTGGGTTTGTTTTTTTTCTGGTGCTGGGGATTGAACCCACGGCCTTGCGCATATTAGGCAAAGGCTCTGCCACTGACCACCGAGTTACATCCTCAGCCTCTTTTTCACTTCTGTGAACACAAGGTCTTACTAAATTGCCCAAGCTGCACATGGTACATAACTAATCCCAGCACTCATGAGGGTGAGACAAGAGGATCACAGCAAGTTCAAGGTCGGCCTGAGCTACATAGTGAGTTCAAGGCCTTGCATGAACTATAAAGTGAGACCCTGTCTTGAAATAATAAAAATAAATTGCCCAGGCTGTCCTTGAACTTGGAATTCTCCCACCTCAGCCTCTGGAGTAGCATTATAAGCATGCACCGTCACCACCTTGGCTAACTTTTTTAAATTTTTTTTTTTTGCACAGCTGGGGAATTGAACTTCAGGACTTTATATGTGCTAGGCAAGCACTCTGCCAAAGAGCTACAGCCCCAGTGGCTTGTTTTTTAAGACAGTGTCAGGGCCGGGGATTTAGCTCAGTGGTTCCGGCACCTGCCTCACAAGCGCAAGGGCCCGAGTTTGACCTCCATACAAAAAAATTTTTTTAAAAGACAGTGTCTATGTGAGCTAGTCCCTAACTGCTAGGGATCCTGCCTCAGCTGGCCAAGCAGCTTCATCACCACACATTTGAATCTTATGTTACAGGATACCCAGATCCTTGAAATTTTGCAACAAAGTATGCTAGGTTTGAATAGGTAGAATATGATATGTGGTAACCCCACAAGTTTCCTGATTCTATTTCAAAGTGTACGCAAAGTCTTCTGTAAGGAAGTACAGGGTGTAGCTAAAAGACCCATGTCTGCATGTCCACATCCTGCTGTTCACCAATCGTGAGGACTCCGACAGCTTCCTGAACTCCCCCCCCCCCCCACATGGTCAGGAAAAAACCTAGGGTCTCCTAAAGGACAGGCAAGCGCTCTACCACTGAGCTACCGATGTGCAGCCCTCTCCCTGGACTTCCCGAGATTCACTTTCCTTCCCCGTTAGACGAGATCTGTGACTCCCCTGCCTACGTCAGGCTGCTTCTCTGCAGAGGCCCGCAGTTGTTGCCAGAGGTCTGCAGACAGCTGGCTCTCCTCATGGCCAGGGGGGACATTTCTCAAGTCTGGACTGTATAACAGTGTGGCCTCTTGGCATAGTTCACCCTTGCCATGGGAGCCCCTCTGGCCCTCAGCAGCACCACATGGGACATTCTGCAAGGTCCAGTTGCAATAAAAGGGGCAAGCAAGGCCTCCAGCCATAGACCAGTTGATTTGTTTCCATAGCAAATCCAAACTTGTTGTAACAGAGCAACTGGATTCCAGCCGCTGTTTATTTTACAATGTCTTCTGGTTGAAATGCAGTCGGTGCAATAGTCCAGCTTGCCAGGCTAATCCTATTCTTTGTTGTTAGGGGAGAATTTCATCACAAATTCTTAAAGATGTTTCAAGGGTAAGTCTGGTGTCATAACATGTTTCCAGGTCAGTCTTATAGATATGCACAGTTTCAGGGCAACAAATGTGGTCTTTTGTTTTGTGGTATTGGGAATTGAACTCAGGGCCTTCACACTGAGCTACCTTCTCTGTCCTCCTGCCTCAGTCTCCCAGAGTGCTGGGATTATAGGCATGTGCCACCATACCCGGCTTAAGTGTGTTTCGAATTATTTTCCAATTGAGCACACTCCAATTTAGTTAAATTGAAGGGTCCTCCCAATTTCTTCACTTTGTTCGGAGGTGGTAATAAGGCTTCTAAACACGTATTGTAACGCCTTTCTTGGGCCTCTCATTAGTCCACCATGCAGATGTTGGTTGCAGTCATACAACTAAGGTTCCCTTTGTTGCAATAATCTCCTAGGCTGTGGCTGCAATTTAATATCCAAGTTCTTCTTACATCACCAACCAAACCACACCTGGCCCTCACAACCACCCCAAGAGCCTCAGAGGGTCAGTTACACAGGTGGGCATGAGCTCGTCTCCCCCGGGATTCAGGTCTCACTTTCTGCTTTGAAGATTTTACTATGCAAACAAATCACTTGGGAATTTTTCTAAAAAGCAGATTGTAATTCAGTACGTTTGGGATGTGTTCTCTCTCTCCCTTTCTCTCTCTCTCTCTCTCTCTCTCTCTTCCTTTTCCTAGTACAGGGAATTGAACCCAGGGCCTTTGCGCTGAGCAAAGTCCCCAGTGCTTTTTCTTTTCTTTCTTTCTTTTTTTTTTTTTTTTGGTACCAGGGATTGAACTTGGGGCCTTGCACTTGCAAGGAAGGTGGTGGAACCACTGAGCTAAATCCCTGGCCCCCCTTTTTCATTTTTTAAAATTTGAGACAGGGGCCTGGGGATTTGGCTCAGTGATGTGCCCGCCTGCCTCAAAAGCACAAGGTCCTGAGTTCAATCCCCGATACAAAAAAAAAAAAAATTTGAAACAGAGTGTCACTAAATTATTAAATCTCCCAAACTAGGCTCTAACAAATTGATCCTCCTTCTGCAGCCTCCCAGAGTACTGGGGTTACAGACGTGCGCCTCCATGCTGGGCTGGAAATGTGCGTTTCTAACAAACTGTAAGATGTTGCTGCTGCTTCAAATCACCATTTGAGAAGAAAGGACCTAGGACACCACCAGCAGTTCACAAACATCTCAGTGAAATTCCCTGGAAATTCCGTGGAAGGTTAGGACAAAAACGGCTGGGTTAGGGACCCCACAACAGGTAAGACTTGTAGGTGCCCATGTGGCTCAGTAGTTCTGAGGTCTCAGAGGAGCAAAATCAGGGAAGACAGTAGTACACTGTACAAACCAGGAGGGAGGAGCATAGCACCAGGGGCCAGGGAGTGCAGAGGGACGGGCAGTGTGTTCTGCAGCAGGCAGTCTGGTTTTGCAGTCCAGGGACTCGGCTACGAATCCTTCTAGCCAGTGAGTAGCTTTTGAGCTTTGGGATAATGACTTAGCCAGAATTTCTTTTTTTTCTTTTTGGTTTGTTTTAGATAGAGTCTCGTTAAGGAATTCAGGCTAGCCTCCTGCCTCCTGCCTCGGCCTCCTGAGTGTTTAGGATTATTGCCGTGTGCCACCACACCTGGCTTAGCTAGAATTTTTAAATATAATTTTCTTCTAGCCTAACAATGAGAATATAAAATCTCCTCTGCTCATTAGGCTTAAAGGAAATGTTAGCTTCCTTCCTTTTCACTTCATTTTTGAAAATTTTCATTAGTCCGTGTTTGCAGTACATCATGGTGACATTCATCGTGGGGCGGTGGTACATGTGCATAACGCACCTTACATCTTTTTCTTGTCACCTTTCCCTCCCTGTCCTTTAACTTTTCTTTTTGGTACAGAGGATCAAACTCAAGACCTTGTGCTTGCCAGGCAGCCAGGCTACCACTGAGCTACATCCTGACCCCTGGCCTTTTTTTTTTGAGACAGGGTATCACTATGTAGTTCAGGCTGGCCTTGATCTCATTATGTAGCCCAATCCTCCTGCCTCAGCCTCCTAAATGCTGGGATCTCAGGCATGTGCCACTAAGCCCAGCCCTTCTCTTCAACCTCCGAGAGAGGCAGGGACTTGCCCCTCGGCTTCATGTGACCTGCCCACATCCCACTTACCAGTCTCTAAAATGGAGGAGAGGAGGGTGACGGGACCAGACTAGTGACTTTGGAAGCAGCACCTCTGTGGCCCCTCCCACCCATGCCCCCAGAGTAAAAGAAGGGCCCTGCTGTCATGTTTTTATGTGGGGTCAGAGCGGTTAAGACCATGGGCTGTGGGCTCAGGGTTAACAGGGTCTGTA